AAACTTATTACAGGAACTTTTCATTTGATGAATGTCATGTTGAAGGAGCCAGAACCATCGCTCGTGCTGCGAAACAAGCTGGAGTTCAGCGTTTAATTCACGTTTCTGCGTTAAATGCCAGTGAAGATTCGCCGTCGCACTTTTTGCAATCCAAGGTATTTGGTTTCTCTTCAGCATTGCTCTGCCGCCTAAATCAATTGTAATGTAGCATGTGAAGTACTGTGCGTATGTACAAAATTTGCTTGTGATTGGTGTAACAATGTCCGGAAGCCTATACAGTCAATTATAGTCCCGTTTACACTACACTCAATTTATTGTTAGTGTTCAGGCTACCAAAACAAAGGCCGGGTACATATGAAATAGGTACATGTAACCATTTTAGCCATACGGTTTAAATAAATCGAGTGTAGTGTAAAATGCGCTCATGAATCCAGATGAACTTCGAGTCTTATCTAAACTCTATTAAATCTTGCACGTGTAGTGAATTACTAGACGAGTGCTTAGTTTGACACGCGTTTCTAATTAGTATTATGAGCTGGGCTGTGCAGTAGTTCTCGGAATTTTCCAATGAGAAATTGAGAGAATGCGCGTTATTGTGGAACGCGTTTTTTGTGGAACGCGCAAATAAAATGAGAACGTCGGTTGTAGAACCTTGAATATTTTTTAGTATCTTTGCAAAAAATCAGCGTTGACAAATTCTAAATTTGCATTTAGCTGCCCGTTCAGACAGACCTTTCCCCTTTTAGCTTTCGAGTGCGCAATGCGTGACGGTAGTTGATTATCAATCAACTTTGAGTTGCGATATGCTATACATATACATGTATGCAAACTGTTCGGAATTGCATCGTGGATAACTATAGGCCAATTTCCGTTCAAGTTCAACAGAACTCGCTTTATGGGCGCCCACTCCAACACCTTCTCAAAATACTATATTAACACAGCAAGCATAACTATTAATATTTGTTTTTTAGGCTCGCGGGGAAAAGGCCGTTAGAGAAGAATTCCCTGACGCAATAATATTACGACCATCTGATATTTACGGCCACGAAGACAAGTTTTTCAACTACTATTCATGTATGTTCCATTAGGCATTAGAGGGCTTTAGCAACCGATTATCTGAAATGGCGGGAAAGAACTGGAACTAGTTGTCAAATACAGTTTGCGTACGCCATCTGACGATAATATTTTGCCTTTTCAGATTTCCGCAATATTCCTTTGGGTATACCTTTGATTGATGGTGGAATGAACACCAGAAAGAGACCGGTCTTTGTAAGTATTCTGAAGATCACCAGCATGTACTGTATAGATTAGTTCCTTATCTCTTCCTTGCGCTAGCCAACCAGAGCTAGTGAAATATATGAACAATTATAATGCAGTAAGTTTAATATAATATTATGGTATATTGAAGGTTATGTCTTAAATCTTATATTGAAGTGAGCAAAACTCTGGCTAGGAGGGACCTTAGATATTCAGTGGGGTAGCCAGCCTGACGATTTTGTCCCGCTATGTAAATTTCGAGTTTTTATAATTATTCATTTGCTTAGAAATTTTATTATTTTCAAAGTGAATAAACACCAAAATGTTAGCATAGCGAGACAAATAGTCAGGCTGGCCACGCTACTGTAAATATTAGATTGGATGGTTGTGAAAGACATTATTTCTTTCGGAGTTTCGTTATTGAGGTAAAAAGGACAACATAGTTCATAGTCCCATAGTCCCAGCGAATAAAATTATTTTTATTTAGTTTTGCCAGTATCACTAAGTTCGCCTATTGGTATACTGTAGGTTGTAGACGTGGCTAAGGCAGCGGTTAACGCTATATATGATGGGAAACTAGGGAGTACTTATGAACTTTTTGGGTGAGTAATTATTTTTCATGAAATATATTGCTCGGTTCACTGGATTGAACTTATGTCAGCGGGTTGGCTTTGTACCTAATAACACACTTGCGTGGAAGTGTCTCAGGGAAGTGTCTAGGAAGTTACTCATCGTATTTCATACCATTTAAAAAACGAATTCAATAATTACTTTAATATTTATTTAAAAGAGTGAACATTAAACTTCATTCGCTCGAATTTGTGTCGATTTCACAATTCCGCTCCCTTGGAACACGTTGATGTCTTCGTCCTTGCGGGCAGGTCAAACGTTGGACCGTTGGATATGACTATTTATCACATGTTATGACGTCATGCGTTCATAAAAATGTCATATTACGGGGCTTAAGAAATGAAACAACAGGTTTGCATTTAATACGTTATCTCTCTTTGCAGACCAAAGGAATACTTCCTCTATGATTTGTTGGACTACATTTACAGAATGAACCGACGGAAGTTTAGACATTATACGCTACCTCGACCTTTGTACAAGTAAGCCTTGTTCTTTACTAAGTACCACTTACATACATTACTTACATACACTTTCTTTCGTTTGCGCGGAAAATAATTTCGTGACAACGCTATACAGTTTTGTTAGCACTATGCAGAAAACAACATTCACTATTTCGATTTAAGATATACATCATAGGTGTACACTATATTGTTGCAATGTAGTCGTCACCATTGGTGACAGTGCCAGTTGTTTGGGCTTATATGCGGGGCCTATACACAGCATTCTGAGGATCACCCTCCTCTGCCCTACCCCTGTAGGGTGATAAATATATGCACATGTGTATGCTCAAACTGATAATTGTTCATGTTTATGTCACTGCCTTGAATTAGTATCGTTGCCTGGGCTGCTGAACAAAGTATTTTTGATCCTCGTTTAACGCGGGATATGTTGTTCAGGGTATGTATGTGGCTATGTGTGAGAAGTTGTTGTACTGTAAATGAAATACCCTATGAGTGAATTGAATAAAATACTTTATGATTGGACCCGAATGCATGCCTTCCTTTCTATTGTCTTCTGTAGTATAGTTATTATGGGAGAAAGCAATTCTTTCTGCTAATAATAAATTTCCTTGCATTTGGAATTTGAAAAAGGGCCGCGGGCTGTTGTTAATTTATAAGTTCACATCGCTTTTGGCATTGAAATTTTTGTTGTATATCGTTATCTAGCAATTCAATACTGATGTCCCTACTGATGGCCTGCCAATGCTTGAGGATATTGGAGTTGAGCCGACAGCTGTAGATACAGCGGCTATTACTGTTTTGCGCCGTCATCGCGATTTGTGGACGTTTGAGGAGGCCTTGGACGAGGAGGAAATATGTAAACCAACCAGTGCTTATTCTTAAAAGAGAATTCACACAGTTTGACTAAATTAAAGAAATGTTTATACAATTGTCTTTCAGCTGCTATGGTGTTGAAAACAAAGTTTATTTTATACCGACGTTTTGCACATTATTTTTGGGGGGGCTGTAGGGAAGCTTGATTGGGAGGGTGCATATATTGCAGGGTCAGCAGGGATTCATATATTTTTTCTATTGCTCCACTGATTTTTTTGCGAGCAATTTTTGTGAGAAAAGCACGTAATATTTTAAGATTTTTTCAGCGCGTGGTACTAGGAGCGGAGGTTATATAGAATCTTCGCTTCAACACAGCTAATGCCTGCCTAGGCACACACGTATGTAGTTGTCAGCTTTTTCAAAATCATGCACCGTCACGTGTCAAATAGGTTTTATTATAGCCAGTAAACTTTAATCTTGTTTCCAGCAAGTTCAGTGAAGGGTTATTTACTTGAAGGTCACTCAAGGTGACTGAAGTGACTCATCGTGGTTTCATCACGGTTAGGCGGGGAAACCACTAACCGTGGTTTCATGATTGCTAAAAATAAGATCTCTGAGGGTGATCGAAATGCTTCGGAGGTGTAGGTTGCAATATGTGCTGGGATATGACCAAACATACGTAGCTATATACGAAGTATAGCGTTCGCTTTCTCGAAAAACAAATCGAGAGAATTCGAATAATAAATAGAATCTGCAGACAATATTTTTCACCAGGAAAGCAGGTTCTTGTAGTAACTAGCACGAGGAAATATTTCCTTGCAATTCGTTAATCGGATTACAACATTCGCCGCGCTTGAAGTCAAAATAAAAACCAATTGCCAGACCATCGGAAAAGATCTCTTTAGAAAGCCATTCCCTGGGTACAGGTAGCATAACCAGTACCTAAAAATATTCCTTGGTATTTCACTTGTTTCTATGTTTGATCAACAATCATACCCGTTTTTGACTGGAAAGCTGGAAAAGGAATGTCATAAGTATAAACATTCATGATGGAATTTCGTTCGGATAAATAAACGCTAAGATTCTCTGGTAACGGTGTTTACCCACGGAAATTGCCACATTCGTGGCTGATTAGACTGATTTAGACTACACGATAAGTTGTATGCAATTATCATTTTGACGGACGCAAAAGAGGGCCTATGCCACAGTCATCATTCATATTAGCCCCGTTTACACTACAATCAATCTATTGGCACGGCACGGCTAAAATTGGTACCCGTACCCAATTTTATTAGTGTACAGGCTGCCAAAACAAAGGCCGAGCACAGATGAAATGGGTACGGGTACCCATTTTAGCCGTGCCGTGCCAATAAATCGAGTGTAGTGTAAACGGGGCTATTGTTGGTGGGCACGGTTGTATTCATACGGTAATATACGACAGGGTACGCGTAAATCGTATACGACAAATCGCGTTGTGTAAATAGGCCTTAACACAAAAGTATGCAAAACGTGCAAAGCTTTGCTTATTTGGGCATTTTAAAACATTTCGCAAGAGTGAAAAACAAGAATAAAGGTTAGTCAAGTTCGTAAGAATAACTAATGAAAATGCAGTTAATATGTCATATGTGTTGACACTTGTTGAACCATAGGCAGCCCAGACTTTGACTTGCGCGTGTGATACTCGCGCGCGTGTCGCGCTTACGTTGGTTGAACTAGTTAGGACGACGACTGGTCGATGGTCAAAGTATTGTTTTCAGGAAGGTCAATGAAGGTGATATTCACGAAGGTCATTCAAGGTAATATTGATCATTCTTTGTTTATATAAAAGGTCAGATTACATTTGCTTCATGAAGAACTGCTGCAGTGATTGAAACATGCTGGTGGCAGTATTAATATTCGGTGTTATTTTAACCCTGTTATGCATCAGGTTGTGGAAACACTTTCAATTCTGCAATGAGGTATGGCTGATTCCTGTTCCTGTAAAAACCTCTCCAATCTTTGGCCACGCACTGACGTTGAAGAGAGATCCACACGGTACGTATGTATGAAGTGTATTCACGCATGAGATTCCAATGTTTTGTTTTAGCTTTTTACATAGGAGATTCGAATAGAACAGTAACAATTTCCTGGCTTTTAATTTTAATGACGAGTACTTTAATTGCCATTATGACTTGGCAAATAACCAAGCTTATATAATAACCTTGCATAACTTTGGTTTAATCTCTTATACATAATCTACTTGTAACTTGTACTTGTATATATTAAAATAAAGATTTAATGACGTTTGGTTTACGTACGAAATACTAGAGAGTGCTCAATGCCGTATAGATAGAGTAGATATAACGTCCAGCTCGTCCATTACCGTCTGTTTCGTCTGTACGTCATTTATAATTGTGTTTATTATATTATGTTATTTATATATGAGTCTCTTTCAAGGTAATTATATTTTAATTATAAGCATAATAATCATAGCTGGAACCGTTGAAATGGGGTTTATAACTTTATATGTACCATAATAACTTTAAACTAGACTTTAACACAATCCTTTATTTTACCTGCTTTTTTACCTGCTGGTCCTGCTTCTACATATGTTAACATGTATTATTAGTATTTGTCAAGTGCAAGCAAGTTAGGCTAATTGACTAATTATTTAAACTTTTTACTTTAAAATTAATAGAGTTTTTCACCCAGATTAAAGGTTGGGTAGACAATTGTTATGCAGATGGATTGTTCTCTGTCTGGCTAGGACAAACTCCTGTTGTTATTCTTTATAAACCAGAATATGTTGAGGTATTAATTCTCTTGTATATCTACATGCCAATACTGTTTAACAATTCCTGTGCATATTTCCTGTGGCAATTTAATTTTTTTCTCATTGGTACAGGTGAAATTTGGCTTTCAGAACTATTTGGCAGTGTAAAATTTCATCGGTACTATTTTTTCAGTACCATACCAAAAATTATGTATATATAAGTCTAAATGAAGTTATAATGACTAAGTCAACAATGTATTTCAGGGTTAATTATCACTACATGTTTTTTTTTAATTATGTTTCTACTAGATATTATTAGCAAGTCAGAAAAACATCACTAAAACACCACTTTACATTTTTCTCCATTCATGGCTTGGAACAGGTAATGACCCTCGTAAATAACATAAGCAAAGCATTGTGGGGATGGATAGATATTGGGAGGGTGCAAGGCGGTTAACATCCCCTTAAAAAATTTACACCCTCCTAGGAGAATGCACTAGCTTCCTCCTAAAGAAAGCAAATTGTAAAAGATCAAGAATTAGGGGCATGGTGACTATCAATATTTGTGATGCAGTTAACTACCGCCCAAATTACTACAAAATCTTTATATTGAACAAAAAAGCACTGCATTCTTTCTGAATATCATAGTTGTACTAGAAATAGACAGCTTCCAAAGAACTAAAGGCTTGAAATTTTTAAAACTTTCTTGCTCAGTGCCAAGCATGCAGCTGGTTCCTCCTGAACACCCAATATTAACTAACTTAGACCTTACTTAATATTAACCACCTTTTTGCCTCAATGCAATTTATATAACATTGATCAACATGCAGAACCTAATAAATTTGGAAGGTGGTGTGGGGCAAGGTTGTGTTGAGGTTGGCATATGACGCATATTCTGTGAGTGTGAGAATTAATAATCCGAATGTGAAGGATGAAAAAATTGGATGATTAAAAATGGCATAGTTCAATCTCTCATGTCAACCCTTACCCAATCCAGAACAAGTGCGCTACGCCGGAAGAAGTGTTTTACGGATTTAATACCGTGTTTTTTCACGAATTAAAAAGTAGAAAGCGAGTAGTGTGCCGTTATAGGGTGATTTGATAATAATTAAATGCACAAAATACCTCTCATACAACTTGTGAAGACTGAATTTGACACCGTTTACACTATACCGGATTGCAACTTGGCGCCGCAATTTTCATACCTGATCCTGGCAGCTCCTGTTCATGCACACTCTACATTGGAGGTGATATCTATGTACATCCTTAGTATGCAATAATTAAACCAATAAAATATGGACCTCAATTGAAAACAAGACGCCTGCTCAAGGCGTTCACTCCGCCTGCATGCCAACTGATGTACATAAGTCATCCGTGGACCGTGTAACCCAGGGGCTTCTCGGTCAAAAATGAAGTTGTTTTGGGTTACCTGTAGAAATGCCAACTTCTGTCGCCCAAAACTACGACTACTACTAAAAGGAAAAAAGACCATGGCATTTTAAGACTCCGCTGCGCATACGCAGGCGGAGTAATTATTAAACTAGTACTGAAAATCGAAATATATCTGCTCGTTTGTTCAATAGATAGATCATTTTGTTTTCTGTTTTGTTTTATCATTCTTGAGTTCGTGGTTTCGTTTATAAAACTAAACGACTCTAAACCGCTTTTCGAACCACTGCGGCACTGCCCCCTGAAATGTTTCTTTATAGTTTGTTATGATCAGAAGATATGCACAGAATGTACTTTATATCGACGTCTTTAATTTACTCCATATATTCTTTTTATTTTTATTTCCAGGGCTTCTAACCAGGTTAGTTGTATTGATTTATTCACGCGTGATTGTGTTCTATTATTTTCGCAAAATTATTCACATACATACAAGTTGAAAACAACACGTCACGGTTTATTAGTTTCAGCGTTTGTGAATTGTGATTGGTCATACAATTCATGAGAGCGAGGCTTTCAGGCATAGTGACGTCAACGGAGAAAATGTATATTGTAAACTTTTATAATTTTCCTGCATTTTTACCATGCAGCCCTTCAAATTTACCGTCTAGTTAAAAGAAAGCGGTTAAGATATCCATTCACTTTCTTTTACAGCACCGGTAACAAATGGAAATCTCGTCGAAGGCTTCTCACTCCGACATTTCATTTCAAAATTCTGAATGACTTCGTTTCTATTCACCAAAAACAATCTGCTATCCTCGTTGAATTACTTCAGGTATTCAGCATGTGCATCACAGTTGAATACATATATACTTGTATGTAATTTAGAATAAGCATCGGTGAGATACTTCCCACAGTCCTTCGCGCGCTTGCTCAAGCAAATCCCTTCAAGAGGAACAGGTAATATGCATGCGTGAAAACTAAAAGTTTTATCTTCATTTTGAGATTATTCAATTTTTTGATGCAGTAAATAGTTGTTTTCAAAGTTAACTGTACTATCCAGTAATATTTTATTGAAGCAAATTACGATTTGAAAATGCAAATAAGTGACTACAGTCACCACGTTACTATACGTTCCACTTTGAAAATCAACCTCTTTTGCATGCGAAATGCAATATGAGTTATATATTATACTTATGCGTCAGTCGTATTTCTCTAGCAGCATATAAATAGTTTTGTTATGAAAGATGCCGGATAGCCAACAAAAAAATGTATGATGTATATTATATATAATATTATATCAACTGTAAATCATCCAATCAGAAAGCTCGATTGCAGCGGGGTATTCGAGTTTGCGTGTACCACGCATGGATGCCTCGCACACGACTCGAGGTTGTCAACTATTGCCCGTTCATAATTTCCTGTTTGTTGATTTAATCTCACTGATTTTACTGTTTCTCGTCAATCTTGCATATAACCTCGTAATCTGTTCTATCGTGTATTCTCTCATGTATATGGTCATTATTTATTTACTGTAGGCAAAAGCTGATAAGGGTGAATTTGATATAGCTCCTTACATCACGCTCTGTGTCTTGGATATCATATGTGGTAATTTTTTTATCTGAGCTGTATAAATCGCAATAATAAAGAATTAAAAATTCTGGGCAACTGTTTTTCACAGTTTTGGCCATTCACCTAGTGTTAGGTAGAACATTAAGGTCAATTCTTACAACTGCATAACTACGACGTCTAGATATCGTTAAATGGTGACTGTCGAAAAAAATATTTTTCATAATTTCAACTGTGCATGCATTCCTGGGACATCTGCTAATTTCAATATATTCCATGATAAAATTGTATTGTCCACTCCAACGCTACACATGTACAAGAATTTGTTTTATAAAATAACATGTATATACGCGTGTTCTGATTGGTTGAAGCCCGTGTTTGGATCAGGCAATCCAAACACCGAAATTTCGCGGGAATTTATAAACGAATTTATGATGTTTCGCGCGCTTTTCTAAACTCTCGCAGCATTCCCGCGTGTTTAGATCAGGCCATCCAAACACGGAAACCATTAAATGATTGTTAATACTACATGCAATAGACCTTGTGCATAATGACATAACAAACCATGACGCCTGCAGGGAATTCTGATCTGAGTAGTCTCGGCGGAAAATTTAAACTTTAAAATTTCCCGCCTTGACTACTTAGACCAGAGTTCCTTGTAGGCCTCACAGGTACATTGTTATACATAAGGTGCATTATGTTTTACTAGTCCATTTTCCGTCCCGTAAATACTGGGGATATCAGCATTTCCAACTGTTCCAATTTTTTATCAAGCCTTATCCATGATAGTGTGTTCAAGTCAGACACAAAAATATATTCTACCTACTGTTGTAAATGAATTTTGTGCAGAAATTATTTTTGTACGTAACAAGTATAGGCGTGCATCCTGAGTTTCAAAAATCAGAAAAATTAGTCTTGCGCTCGTGATTTGTATGTTTTGTAATTTTTCCATGATCATCGGTAAATCCCGTAATTATATGCTCAACGGTCTTGTCTTTTCACTCCTCAAATTGTAGAAACGTCAATGGGCATCGACATCAAAGCTCAATATGGCAGTAATCCAGAATATACAAAAGCCGTGTTCAGGTAAGGTACTGTTTTTTTCTTATTGAATTACGTATGTAGTGTGTATGATCTCATCTAGATAAATAGTGTTAATTATTGTACCGAAGTTAACCAGTAAGAATCTCTATTATAATTACTGTATTTGATAAATTGAACCAAATGTGGTGAAAAAAACAGCTCTCGAAAATTTACTTAAAATTTGATTGGGAGAACGTACGCCAAGAGCCGAGTTTACAAGGAAGCTATACAATATGTAACCTCTCGAATTTTTTTTAGCACATGTGAACTTATTCAAGAACGTCAGAAGTCACCATGGCTTTGGCCCGATTTCATATATAACATAACGTCGTCTGGAAGAAGCCATCAAAAAGGCTTGAATGTTCTCCATGGTTTCACAAACCAGGTATTTATAGAGTATATTCACTTTTATCAGTTTTACGATTGATTGATACTAACAAAAATAGTAGCTAAAAAGTAGTCATAATAGTTTTTGTGTCAATTACGTAAGTTCATCTATTTTGTTATACCTTAATAATTCATGCTTAGGAAAACACGACTGCTAAACAAAAATGACCATTACAATAATTATATATGCATTAAATTATGCCATGTAATTAATAATTAACTTACGAACTTCGACATTAAATTGTCTGTACATTAAAATAGCAAACCTCTGTATTGACCTCGCTATACCTCGCTTTAGTTCGGTCAATACACCATGAACACGGTTTGATATTTCTCCGTACAGACCTCACACTCTGTTAGCAAGTCCTGTAGCTAGTATGTATGTTCGTTCCAATGTTATTTATCTGCAAAACTGGTTCGCGCTTTAGGAACACCGAACACAATGTACATTGCCGTGGACTATGCTGTCTATGCATGAATTATTCTACTGAAACAAAGTTTTTTATCAAAGCATTTCCTTTATTAAGGTGATTAATGACCGTATCGAGCAACGAAAATTACGGAAATCAGAGGATTTCGATGGTTCTGACGATAGGGCGATATATTCGTCTAGTAATCGTCGTATTCGGGCATTTTTGGATCTTTTATTAGAGGAATATGATCAGGGAAATATAACGAAGGAGGGCGTCAGAGAAGAGGTCGATACATTCATGTTTGAGGTACTTTGCTCTGATTTATTTTTTTACAAATCACCTCGGTTTGGAATCTATTTTTTTTCCTAAAGCGAAGCCTTTCCTAACAAATTTTACTAACTTGAGATAGCGACACACTAAGTGAACAGTTTTTCCTTGCAGGGTCACGACACAACAGCAGCTTCATTACAATGGATCATTCATCTTCTTAGTATTAATCCTGATGTTCAATCACGCTTGCAACAGGAAGTAGATAATTGGTATGGTAAGTTTCACTATTTCTTTCTTCTGGGTTTTTCTCATAAAATTTTGTTACAATGTTCGCCTAAGAATATCTAGAGTAACCTCGTACCCAGGGTTTTGCTGCCTACGCTCCCTGGGTACGAGGTTGATCCAGAGTATGAAATAATGAAAATGAAAACAAAGCGATGGTTGTAAAGTCTGGTCGATCAACGTTTACAAGAAACCTATTTTTCACGAAATTGGATGTATATCAATGCCAATATTATTTTTCCCTATTGTATGAAAAACCGTCGCCAGCAATGTCAACACTGAATTCGTTTATATAAAGTACCGTTTTGAACTTGTATCACGTCACAGCAGTCTCGATTTAGTAGCTACGGTATGGCGCAGAAATATTTAGTACTCAAGATTGACCTGAACGAATCTACACTCTCGTACACTATGAAAAGAAGAAATGCGCATGCACCCAAATTTTCAGGAACACATCTCAAGTAATATTTTTGACGAAGCAATCGGTGATGGTATTTTGTAGAATCTTTACCGACTGATGGGAAAATAAACCCTGAACAACTTAAGGACTTAACTTATCTGGAATGTGTCGTGAAGGTGAGATATTGATTATTGTTATACAAACAATGTTTGTTTTCATGCGGTGAAAGATTGAAAAGCGAAGCCGACTTTAATGGAAAATTCCATCTTTTACCGAAATGAAAATGTACTTTCTTCTGCAGAAATGAATTTAGCATAAAAAAACACCGAAATAAATCTAATATTATTAAAATATTTAGTAAGGGAACTATTTTTATTAATTTTATAAATGATAATCGCATTGTCCATACTATTTGGATTCATGATCAAAATTAATGCGCGCGAGCGTTACCTGTACGAACTGAGTACGATCAATATTGTGAGTCATTGGAAACTTGCTATGGAATACTGATGTTTGAGATTACCGACTAATAAATAGAGTGTAATTTCAAAGTGAATTCAAACAGGTGCAAGCCCAGCCAATTTGCATTTGTTTCTATTGTTAGGAGGGATTGCGATTGTTTCCGTCTGTACCTCTCTTTGGTCGTGAATTGACGGAGGAATGCAAATTCGGTAAGATTTTTTTTACAAAGCAACGTAACATGTGGGACTGTTGATAATTCATTCCAAGAATGAACTGGTTGAACTTGTGGGATCATCTCAACTTAATTTGGTGCACTCGAATTACACAAGAAACCATGCAGAACCCTCAGTGATTGAGCTTAAGCAAAGTGACAGGAAATGGTTCAGAAGTTGAGCATTTAGAAATTCCCAATTTAATAATTGTTCACTATTATAAACAACGAGTGAGGAGACAACCTCTATATAAAACCTTTAAAAATTTTCGCCCGTCCCTGCATGCATGTATGCATGGGGAATTAAAGCAACGTTTTGTTTAGCTAGTTTTATTCGCCAAACGAGCATGTGAGCATTTTTATTTTTCAGGTCCGTACCGTGTTCCTAAAGGATGTAGCATTATTGTGGCTTCAGTGGGTTTGCATCGTAATCCTGAAGTATGGGAGAATCCAGAGACGTTCAATCCTGACAGATTTCTTTCAGAAAATAACGTTGGAAGACATCCTTTTGCCTATGTTCCTTTTTCTGCTGGACCAAGAAACTGCATTGGTGAGTAACAAATATAGTCCTATTCCATGTACATTAATTAACCAGTCAGATTGCGTGTCTCACTGTAGTTATTACATGATGAAATTTCTGGCTATTGCTAAGAATTCATGTTACAGTATGCAATGGATCAATTTTTGAAGTCTAGCCTTGAAACATGATTAGAAAAAACCTTCAAGGTGTTCTGTTAACAAAAATGTATTATTACTGTTCTGGATAGATTCTAACGATCTTCATTGTATCGTTGTCATTATTAGCGTAATAATATTACCGGGTGCAGATTTATTTAGTCGAGAGGAGTACAATTATTTCATTTATTATATTCATTTTGAAATCAATGGTGTCTCTTGCAATCTGACTGGTTGAAAATAATTTGATAATTCCCAAATCGCACTATTTTTGAGCATTATCCACATCATTTATAAGCCAATAAGATTGAAGCTCTGCACCACAATAACCAATCAGATTTAGTATTAACTATCCAATCAATTACAGGAAGAATAGCACAAAATTTTATTATTTTGAATTTTTAAATGCCCCGCAAACTTTCTTGACAAAAATAGATGAAAATTACTCACATTTTACGCCGTTTACGGTTCTTCCAGCCAATAAATGGTTTTGAATTTGTTTTTTTTGTATGATTTAAAAATGAATATAATTAAGTGGAAATTGCAATTTGTATCGTGCAATTTTGGTGTGAAACCAAACTTGTGATTATAAATCACACTCCCGCTTCGTGGTCGTGCGATTTGTAATCACGCGTTTGATTTCACACCAAAATTGCACTCAGTTCAATTACCATTATTAATTATTTCATGGTCATGGACAAAATGGCCAGAAAGGAAAACGAAGATACTGTCCAAAGTACAAAATAATGGATAAAAGTCTGGCATTTTCGTTGCAGGACAAAGATTTGCTATGATGGAAGACAAAATTGTATTAGCATCCATCATACGCCATTTTAATATCAAGTCTACTCAGTCGTCTGATGATATTAGGAAAAGTGCAGAAATTATTCTGAAATCCACAAGTGGTATTATGGTGGAGTTGGAAACAAGAATTTTTTAAACATGTTCGATACCGCTCTTCTAAAATTGAAATTAATGACCTCTACAGACGACCTAGACCCACTGAACTCTAATATACCTGGAATGATAACAGGTGATGAATCTGGGCTTACATTTCTCCACATCAAACGATTTTCTATAAATTTAGGCTGAAATACCTGACACTAAAACGTTAGGCATTATTATAAAACAATGTTTTCGTAATAGTGTCATATTTTTGGCGAGGTTATTCAGCTTGTTGAAGAATTCTCATCTTATTAAGCATTTACAGCGTTTGAATCTTAAAGAATGCTTAAAATGAATGAAATATCAACATCTACGCTTTAGGAAAAGTAGTTATAAATCACAAAACGTAGAGGAGAAAAGGTTGAAAAGATCTCGAAAGTTATTCGAACAAATTCGATATGCAATTGAAATTATAGATTGAACTTTGTTCAAAAGTGGCGTTGTCATAATTGATATGTCGGGAACTTTGACAAAATTAATTTACTATAGACCAAAGATTTAAGATTGAACTCATTCGATTATGCATGCATGCAGCTGTTAAATTGCAAAAAATCTATGGGTATTGAAGTCACACAATAAAAAATCCGTGAATATGTTGAACAGAAAATCCCACTCATTTTGATGATATAGCATTATATTGATCGAGCAATAATATCTCGTGTATAGATTCTGAAAAATGATAACACATGTAAATGAACGATCGGTTTACACACCTGCCTAAAAACAACATGCATATCTTAACATTTATGTCTGAAGACTCTGAACTAATCTTGTATAGGGGCTTCCCAAATACAGACGAAATTAGGGAAACCAAATTTCATTAACCCAGTTTATTTAAAGAATAAACGTATTAAAATTTTGTGCGCGAAATCTGTCTATATTTTTGATCACTGCAAATATGTTAAATCTATAAGAAATAAAATTCACGTTGGCTATATAATAATTATTATACAATAAATTATGAAATATTGCCTATTTTGGAAATAGCGTGACTTTTATATTAATTATACTAACTGCATTGCTACCTCGTGACTCACGCCTGCCAAAGACAAAGTATCTTTTCGACAAACATTTTAATCCTTTTAAGAACAGTGTTCAGTTTAAGCTGTATTGCCCTATTTGCAATGCTATGCTGACAGGTATTGAATATCTTGAATTTACACTTACTACACTATGTAATGCAATGTATCAAAAGGATGCGCTAGTGCAAGTTGGGAACTTCTTCATTTACTTGCCTCTTGAAAAGCAAATACGTGATTTGTTCACAAAGAGTGGTGAGACTTTAAACCTTGCATATAGATTTACGAGAAACAAAGTGTCCTCTTCAGCAATTGAGGACATTTTTGGTGGCCAATTATACCAATTAATCTATTGTTAGAGGCTTGTTGATGTCAGATCCAAATGCCGTAAGTCTTTCCTTCAATTGTGATGGAGTACCAATTTTAATGTCTTCCAACTTCGGGGTTTGGCCACTCCAGGGAATCTTGAATGAACTTCCACCAAAGCAAAGGAGATAAAACGTATTCTTAATTGGTTTATGGTTTGGAACTGGTAAACCAATTATGACTACTTTCCTTAAGCTTTTTACAGAGGAACTAACAAAATTGAGTAACATTGGAATAAGATGGGTTCGTGGTGGTGTGAATGTTTGTTCCAGAGTTTCTTCGCGTGCATCTGCTCGTGTGACAGCGTGGCAAGGTTTATGTTGCAGAATATCCAACAATTTAATGGTTTGTATAGCTGTGGTTGGTGCGAAAACCTAGGACAGACAATTGAAAAAGGAGGTGGTCATTGTAGCGTCTATCAAGAAGAGGTGCTATAGCCTGACTTGAGAAGACACGAGGAAATGAAGAAAGATGGTCGAATTGCATTCCGAAAAAAAAGAGCTAGTATAGGGGTGAAAGGCCAACCAAACTGTCTGATTTTCTCTATATTCTCTGACATTGCAAGAGGATTTGTTGTAGACAACCTACATTGCATAGACCTGCCAGGGCGTTACAAGACTACTGGGACATCTATGGTTTGATTCTACCAATCACAATGAGCCATGGTATCTTGGCAAAGACGTTGCACTTAATGATTCACTATTGAAAAGGATGATTACACCGCAAGAGGTTAAAAGGGTTCCAAGGTCTATGACAAAATAAGCATTTTAGAAGGGCTCTGAGTGGCACTGGTCGCTACTTGCGTTTAGTTGCTAATCAAGTCAAGTATTAGCTCTGCTGATCTCAACCAGGCTGACAAGATTTCAAGTGTTGTATGGCAAAATACATATGACGTACAATGTCCATCAGCTGACCCATCTAGTACAAGCGGTAATTGATTGGGGTCCATTGCCTTGCTATTCCTCGTATATTTTTGACGGCTTTAACAGGGTACTTTTGAGCTTTTTTCATGGAACTCGAGCAGTTCCACAGCAGATTGTAAATTCTTTTCTCTTGTACAAAAAATTGTCACTGCTTTGTAGCACTGTTAAAACCACTGATCCTCTTAAAGATGAAGCCGCCTACTTCGTGAAAGATCAACCCAATGTGTACGCACCGCAGGAAAATGCCACAAAATGTAACCTTTTTAGGGGCATCCTATTCCAGACCTTTGAATGTGGAGGAAAGGTATCTCGTCGACGAGTTTTATGAAAGGAGTGACATTGAACATGAAGGGGAGTTTTTTACTAAAGCTATAGTAAATGGGAACGTGTTTCATTTCACGAAATACAAGCGAAGATCAAGAAGGAAGAATGACGTGATAGGAACAAAAAATGGTGTGTCATTTAAACTTGATGCATTTGTTCTTATTAGGTTTAAAGAATGTGCTGATGTTGGTTAATTGTATTGCGTTTGGACGAGAAATGACGATATATTTTTAATACACGCGAATTCTGCGGGTCCCAGCCTCCCCAGTTTAGTCAGAAATATTAATTCGTCAGAAATATTAATTAGTCAGGCAATTTGTATTTACCTTAAGTGAATTTGGTCTTTCCACTACATAAAAATATTCAAGAATGCTCAAATATACACTGGCGGTCAAAAAGAACTGCTCAAATGTTGCTATTATCGTATGTAACAGGAATCGTAACAATCAATCTTTTATTGTACACTAGCGGTAAAAAAGAACTGTTTAGATACAAATTCATAAAAAGAAGCGAATACAGGAGAGAGCTTCATAGGCGTTTTGGATAATTCTCTTATTCCAAGCAATATTTCAATAATGTAATGCAACCTGCCACCCTTCCAAGATATAGTCAAACAATGGTTTCAGGAAGAGGAGGTGACAGAAATAGATTGGCGTGCACAGTCAAAAGACTTTAACCCTACTGAAATTCTGTGGTAAAATGTGAAGGGGATAGTGCAAGAAAGGAATTCATTCATGAACCGTTCATGATTTATGCGTTGCTGTAAAGACTGTCCCTAGGATGAATTTCTTTTGACCGTTAAGATTACCACCTTAACAGAAAGTATGCCACGCCGGTGTAAGGCCGTCATAAATTATATGGCCAAAAGAGGGTCAACAAAATATTAATATTTCATATATCTTAGCATGTAAACTAGTCTATATTTACTCGTATATATTGTAAGAGGGACAGTTACGTTCATTCGAGAGTAGTTTAACTTGTTTTGAGCAGTTCTTTTTGAATTTTGACCGCCAGTGTAGTAGACTGTATATGCTTGCAGCTTGCGTATTAACCCTACAGGAAACGAAAATGAATGAAATAAACATGCTTTTTCGTTTGTGCCACTTCCTGATTTCGAAATCGCAACGCATCACGAACTGAGACCTTTTCATTTTAACACCTTTTATAGATAGGATATATTTCAGCAGCTAATTGTAACATTACCATTTTGTTACGAAAGACTGCTATCATTTTGACTTTTGGTAAGTTTGTAAATTTACTAACTTTTATAGCAACTGTACATAAATTTTAATTATTCATAAAAGTTTCATGATGAAACAAGATCTCTAAGGGTAAGGTTTGTTGAACACCGTATGTCGGTCAACAACCACGATGACACCAAGACTGTTTTCAGACACTTTACCTCAGTCTGGTAATCAATATGTCACGGACATAAGAATTAGAGCCCTCTGTCCCATTTCCGGTACTAACAATAGCCGTAAACGAAAGGAAATGCGACTCAGTCTTGGTATTCTCCGTCCCTCTAGCATAAATGAAAGACTCTTTTATTTACGTTCATTCGCCCAGAGTAATGCAGCGGATTCCGTTTGACTCCAAAACAACAAGCTTTCGCAACGCATGTTGGGTCGTTTAATATGACATTTGAAGTGTCACATGCACTGTTTCCAAGGAATGGGCGGAGCGTTCCATTTGTGCTTTGGCATACTTGCAGTGTTGTTGAAAGAAAGTGCTTTAAAGAAAGTGCTTGTGTTAAAAGAAAGTGCTTGTGTTAAGTGTCCCATGACGATAGGATCGCCCTTTCGTATGACTTTCCACATTCTAAAATACCGCAAGCGTTTCGAATATGTTTACATGAAAGATGTGCGCCAAAACCGTGCGACATTTCAAAATTGAAACGTCATATTCTAAACGACCCAATATGTGTTGCGAACGCTTGTTATTTTGGAGTCAAAAGGAATCCGCTGTATGAATCCCATTTCTTTGTTTACATCAAAACTGTTTGTAATATATTTTCGTTGCTGATCAGGCTCCCCTCATTGCGGGCTATTCTTAGCCCACAATCAGGCGTCTCTATGGCAACGTAATTTATTCCAATTTGTTTTGATTTTTTTGTTTTCTATTGGCCCATTTTTATCACGTGTTGCCCCCATACAAAACATATATTCTCCTCTTTTTATTTTGATACTAACTCTCCTGACGAAGGTTCTCAGGTCGAAACGTCGAGAAGTGTTTTGTCTATTTTAGGCAGTTATTATACCACGTTTGATGTCATGATGAAACGTATTAACCTAATTTATGATTGCATGTGACCAAACGAGTATCATTATAATGTGTATATCAAGCTATTTACATGCATCACCGGGAATTTGAAAAGCCAAACATTTTCCAAAGTTTATATAGCCTAAACTCAATGGCGTAGTTAAGGGCGACGCCGTTTGCTTTCAAGACCAATCGCAACAGACGCAACCATCAGCTTTACGGTTTCATACTCATTTTCACATTCGGATTCAGATATGAATATGAAAATAGTCGGGTATCTGACGTACAAAATGTGGAAATAACTTCGTTTCTTTCCATGCAATAGATTTTTCTCTGCGAGTAATTATTGATCAATGCATTAGGCATTATTCGAGGATATTTTGAGTTTATTTGACCCAAGCACGAACTCCAGAAAACTCGCAGAAGCTGCTTGGCTAAAACATAAATTTACGCAGCGTCGTATTGCGGTTTATGATCAGCGAAATTCTTTTCGTTTTTTCTTTTAACTAGGAACTATATATTTTCCATTCTGTATGTGTAGTTGAATTGACCATCAGTTTCGAAACAAATGTAACAAAAAACTGCAGGAGGAAAACAGCACGCTATAAATATCTCTGTACCACCTTGAAGCTATGATAGCGAGGTTACACACTTCAACTTGTCTATGGGAGCAATGGGGCTAATTGGCAAAGAGTGTAAAGAGTTTTATAGATTTTCAGACAAAAATATGGGATTAGGTTTATCTCAAAAGAACTACCTCGTGAAAAAGTTGATCGGCTGTTGTATAAGAACTATACTACAATCTATTTTACATGAAGGATAAGCAGTGGAACACACCAGAAGTGTTATGTTGGTGAACTTTGTTATGCATGTGCTGTATACAATTGGTTTTTCAATATACTAAATTTTTTGTTAAAGTTAATATTTTGAATAATAAACTGGCTAGGGGGAATTTTACCCCTGGCCCAAAACATTTCAAACTCGTGTAGGGGAGTCTTATTCGTAATTACAAATTTCATGCTGAGTAACAAGCTGCGGAAATGCAACATCATGGTATGAAAATAGAGCATTATTGTGACGTATAATTGCCAAGCTCATCAGGGTAGAATGCATAAATAAGTTATTTGCTAGCGAATAGGTATTTTATGTATTCCGTTCTGTGCTAATGGGCATGAAATAGTTTTGGGTTAAGGGGTCAAGATAGAGTGGGGATTATATAATGGTGTTAGAAATGTGTAAAGATGGCGAAGAATGGCGTTCCGGCAGATATCCGGATAAGGAGGAGCCTAGGCATCACAAGAACGGTGAATTATAAGGTGACTCATGAGCTAGAAGAATCAGTCGCCGAAGTCAACTTAGAAGAATCGACTGTCAAATCCAAAAGTTTTTTTTATCTCAGCCCACCTCCTCGCCATCTCTGCATCCTATAGTTAACATAGATGGCGCAATTTGTGCCCTCACCTTACTGGGCAAAACAATTTTGACACATATGAAAAATTAATATATATAAAGAATTTTTGTTAAAGTTAATATTTTGAATAATAAAATGGCTGGGGGGAATTTTACCCCAAGACCAAAATATCTCAAACTCGTGTAGGGAGTCTTATTCGTAATTACCAATTTCATGCCCAGTAACAAGATGCGGAAATGGAACATCATGGTATAAAAAAAGTGCATCACTGCCACCACAACTCTTGCGAGACAAAACTTTGACGTAGATAAATGCGGTCGCATACGCTCCTCAATTAGCGTCGCATCCATTCAAGTCCTAGAATGAATGAAATATATCAAATATTCATTTATAGATACATCAAATATTTCACTTTTCAAATACCAGTATATTTCGGGCCAAAACGCACTTGCGAGGACGAAAAATAATTTTAAAAAAAAAACAAAAAACAAAAACAAAACAAAACCGAGGCGAATTTACCAACTCTGTCGCTCACGCCGTAATAATATCGCTAGCTGTCATTTCGCCGTTTAACAAGATCCTTGTGTGACGTGTTGACACGTCGCAGTTTATCCACCCTGTTTACATGGATAAAAGGTCAGATTACATTTGCTTCACGAAGAACTGCTGCAGTGATTGAAACATGCTGGTGGCAGTATTAATATTCGGTGTTATTTTAACCTTGTTATGCATCAGGTTGTGGAAACACATTCAATTCTGTAATGAGGTATGGCTGATTCCTGTTCCTGTAAAAACCTCTCCAATCTTTGGCCACGCACTGACGTTGAAGAGAGATCCACACGGTACGTATGTATGAAGTGTATTCATGCATGAGATTCCAATATTTCGTTTTGACATCTTATATACGAAAATTTCAAAAAGAACAGTAACATATCCTTGACGTTTAATTTTTAAATAAAGATTTTATACGCAAGTTAAAGATTTGCGGTTAATGGAGTAGTAATTTCTAGAAGGTCCTATTTCACCCTACATATGGACCATCTCTGGTCTAGCAGTCATAGTTATCGCATGCATTAATTTTACCTCGGGCAAGGTCAATTAAGGCCTCAACAGAACAACGCAGTCTTTACCAGCCATGTTAATAGTTGTAAAGTTCAAATCTGACTAAAGTCTGGCATCTTAGCATGTGAACAACGTATGCAAACTTGTGTGTTACGGCCAATTGAATCTCCCCTGACGGTCTTTCCCTTCACGTGGACTAGAACAATGGCCCCCTTTTTCTGCAAGGATTTTGCCTGTTTACCATGCATGCATTGGTCATTCGCAAGACCTCAGCCAATGCGCCCACAACGCCGGTCAAATATTTAAAGGGTTTTTTTTATCGAAAGGTAGCGATAGATATCCGCGTTTGAAAAATAATTATAATAACCAAAAACTAAAAAGATACTGATACATTATGTTCATTCATATGTTAGTTATCTCTAGATAGTCAATCGATATTCTTTGTGTAACTTGTAATGAATTGCAGTGATTAAACAATGGCATGCAGGAAGTGCTGTCTTTCTCGAAAACACCTCACTAAGTGAAGTGCAATTATTGTCATTCTGGTCAAAAACGAGACCTGATGACCTGACTTAGAGACTCAACGGTTCAGTCAGACAATATTTGAGTCGAGCCGACTGATCTGAACAGGTAGTCCGCCTGTTCTCCTGTTATTTAGAGGTCCACCTGTTCCTCTAGGTAAAACTTCCTCTAGACCTTTTTTCGAGCGCTTCCTGCCCAATTTATATGCCACAAAAATGTCTCAAAGTGTTGTTGCTTTGCCTAGTTGGCATGCAGACGTTCAAAATCCTTATAAAGAATCTCAACATATAAACTAAATTAAATGGGAGTCATTTAATTGCCATTAATGACTGTTATTTATATGTTATCGAACAGAACAAAATACACAAAAGATATATCTATAATTTATACGTGGTCGCGATGACTCACACACAAGTACAGAGAGATTTTAGAAGTCATATGATAGCTACTTGACAATCACTTCATGAAAATATCACTATATGCATTGTCACGTTTGCCGGGAAGAACGAACAAAAACTGAGAACAGTGTTGAGCATTTTTAAACTTTTAGTGAACTATGGTAATTTAAACTTAACAAAGTAGATTAACATTATCCTATATGTCTTAATCCCTGAGCCGGTGCGAAGCACCTGGCGAGGGTATTAATTCCACCCGGAGATTTAACTTACGCCCGGGAATGCAAATGCGCAATCAAAGTTGTTCGCCATTACGTCATGGACGTTGGGCGTTTTTGTAAGTTTCGCAGAGTCAAAGTGTTCGCGAGAGCCAATAATGACCGCACAGAAGTATTTCAAACAACTGTGGCACTTCTCTACAATTTACGCCTTCCGTCTGTGAGTATCCCTGTGCTATGAGAATTGGTTTGAACCTTTCAACTGAACCGCCTGCATTTCGTTTGACTTATAAACCCATCGACTATAAGTGATATTCTTGTCTCCTGGTGGAGGTATACAAGGTCCCATGTATTGTTGTTCTCCATTAATTCATTAAATTCTGAGTCAGTGACCTTTTTCGACTTTCAACTTCACACTCTTCATCAAAAATTGTGAGGAGTCTCATAAAGTTATTTTCGTATGACTCTCCCACTCGCCGGTTATAATTCAATGGTTCTGGATTTGGAACTACTGCTTCTTCCGAGTTTAGAACTACTTCTCCATTTCTTTCAACTGGAATATTTTGCGCTTTTACTTCAACGTCATTATCTGGACACTTAAAACCCAAGGCTTTCATGAGGAGTGCATGATCCCTTCCACAGAAGTGGCTGGACTACGATTTCTCGAATACACAGCGATGCTTACAGCTTTAGCCCAAAATTCAGTTGGCATGTTTGAGTGAGCTAGCATCGACCGTACACTCCCGACTATAGTGCGATTCATTCTCTCAACTACGCCGTTCTGGCCTGGGTTTTAGGGTGCCGTTAACTGCATGGTGAACAATTCCGTGACTCTTCAGATACTTGTTCAATGTTTTCGAGCAGTATTCTCCTCCGTTGTCAGAACGTAAAGATTTGATGAGGTTTGAGGTAAAATTATGAAACTCTTTAAACTTCTCCAGAATCTCATCCTTGCTCTTCAAGAAATACACACATGTATATCTTGTACAATCGTCAATGAAAGTGACATAATAATGAGAGTTTCCAAAAGAAGGAGTTGACATCACCGTGAATACTTTCAAATGGTTTAGTTGCACGCTCAGCAAGCTCTTAAAGCATATATATATATATATATATTTATTTATATATATATATATATATATATATATATATATATATATATATTTATTGAAAGACTAGCTTAGCTACTCGGAGTTTCACGCTCAGATTAGCCTGATGATCGCTTTATAGCGTGAAACTCCGAGTAGCTAAGCTAGTCTTTCAATAAATATATATTATCGCTCTGCCAGTAATGGTATTGAGCGCTCTCCAACCATTGTCAAGTTCTGTGATCTTTTTGTTACAGTCAATTATTTGGATATATATATATATATTATAATATATATATATATATTATATATATATATACAATACAATTGAAGATAAAAAATTAAAAACCGTTCGCTCGGTTACTCGAGTTTCACGCCTTTAAAAAGCGATCATTTTAAAGGCGTGAAACTCGAGTAACCGAGCGAACGGTTTTTAATTTTTTATCTTCAATTGTATTGTATTACTGCTCTGCCTCTTTGGCATTGCATTGTATACACAATATATATATATATATATATATATATTATATATATATATTATATATATATTATATATATATATATATATACAATGTGTTTGTCACTTGGTCGACAGAGCTCAATGCCAAAGAGGCAGAATATATACAACGTGTTTGTCACTGGGTCGACAGAGCTCAATGCGAAAGAGGCAGAGCAGTAATACAATACAATTGAAGATAAAAAATTAAAAACCGTTCGCTCGGTTACTCGAGTTTCACGCCTTTAAAATGTATATATATATATATATATATATATATATATATATATATATATATATATTATATATATTTTTTTATTGAGCTTTCGACTTATTACTTATCAATTCATGCAGCTAGATCTCAACACAGTCCTCCATTTCACCTTTTTTTTCACCTGGTCCTGCTTCTACATAATTATGTTAACATTATGTCAAGTCAAGCAAGTTAGGCTTGACTACATTTATATTTTTTTACTTAAATAGAGTTGTTCACTCAGACTAAAGGTTGGGTAGACAAATGTTATGCAGATGGATTGTTCTCTGTCTGGCTAGGAAGAACTCCTGTTGTTGTCCTTTTTAAACCAGAATATGTTGAGGTATTACTTGATCTTGTATATCTACGTGTAAATGAATAAAATTGGTTTCGGGTGAAATTGTACTAACTATTTGGCCATCTAAAATTTCATCTGTAACATTTTTTCGGTATCATACTAAAAGTTAGGCATAGGGTAAAAGGTTAAATTAGTCGGTAGGCAAGAGCATTTCACCGGCATCGCAAAAGCGTAGGTTCGATTCCTCCCTGAGGACCGATATTTGACTCATTTTTCCATCAACTGCTCCTGCCTTGAATTTGAAGTGTGTATAATTCCAATCGAAATTAAGACCCTTTGAACCTCTATAGTGTAAATGGGGCTATAATGACTAAATTAACAATATTTTTCAGCGTTAATTATCACTACATCGAGTCTTACATATATTTTTATTTTATTTCTATGTCAATCATGTTCCTACTAGATATTATTAGCAAGTCAGAAAAACATCACTAAAACACCACTTTACATATTTCTCCATTCATGGCTTGGAACAGGTATACGATCTTCTTAGTAATTATAAGCAAAGCATTGTGGAGATGGATTGATTTTGGGAGGGTGCAAGGAGGTTCGCATGGCCTTAAAAGTTTTACACCCTCCTAGGAGAATGGACTTCCTCCTAAAGAAAGCAAATTGTCAAAGATCAGGAATTAGGGGCATGGTGACTATCAATATTTGTGATGCAATTGACCGTGACGAAAAAGATGGCGGAATGTACATTTTACCAGAATGCATTGCGGGCATTAAGAATGATTGACTGAAAAAAAGATGACACGAAAAACTCTTAATGACGTGAAATTTTAACACAGCGAAGAAAATAACTTTTGTTTTTTGCCTATTCTTTGATATACGTCAGTTCGCTTTTTTAAGCGATTTCTGACCGCAATGCATTTTGGTAAAATGTACATCCGCAATCTTTTTTGTTATGGTCAATCAACGTACTTCCGCCCAGTACGTACACAATCTTTATATTCAACAAAAAGTACCCAATGACCGAAAGGCTTGAAATTTTTATAACTTAAATTATTAAACTAGTGAAATCGAAATATTTCTGCTCGTTTGCTCACAAAACAGATAATTTTGTTTTCTATTTTGGTTTTATCCTTCGTTTATAAAACTAAATGGCTCTAAACCACTTTTCGAACAACCGTTCCGTGAACTTCCATATTCTTTTTGTTTCCAGGTCTTTTAACCAGGTTAGTTGTATTGATTTATTCACGCGCGTGATGGTGTTGTATTATTTTTTTTTGCGAAATTATTTATTAATATTGTTTTACAATCCACCTACCAGTTGTTAGTTTAGCGTTTGTAAATTGTGATTGGTCTTACAATTCATGAGAGCGAGGCTCTCAGACATGATGACGTCACTGGAGAAAATGTAAATTTTAAACTTTTATCCTTTTCCTGCATTTTTCTATGCAGCCCTTCAAATTTACCGTCAGTTAAAAGTAAGCGGTTGAGATATCCATTCACTTTCTTTTACAGCACCGGTAACAAATGGAAATCTCGTCGAAGGCTTCTCACTCCAACATTTCATTTCAAAATTCTGAATGACTTCGTTTCTATTCACCAAAAACAATCTGCTATCCTGGTTGAATTACTTCAGGTATTCAGCATGTGCATCACAGTTGAATACATATACTTGTAATTCAGTATAAGCATCGGTTAAATACTTCTCACAGTCGTTTGCGCGCTTGCTCAAGCAAATCCCTTTCAAAGAAATAGCTAGATAGTACGGCTTTCAACCAAAATCGCAGCTGATTGGTGTTAGCAAAAGGGTAGCAACGGAACCAGTAATGAAAATTGAGTATTATTTATGTTAAAAAAGTCGCTTTTGAGCATTCCTTGGATCATCATAGAAACAGTGTTTTCTACTTGTTAGCGGACATTTTGTTAAAGCCATGCAGAACAAAGTGTTATATTTGGGATATTTTTTCAGAAAAAATGGTGAAACTAAAATTATTTAAATTATATAAGTGGTATCCTTTTTTCGTCCTTTACTAAGCTATAAGTACGTAAATGAAACAATTTATTGTTGACCAAACTGATTAAAGATTGCAAAGAACGTCGCAAAATGACTCAAATGTTACTAATAAACATGTATAAATTATACTGAATTTTCATCGCCGGTTCTGTTGCTACCCTGTTGCTTAGGAAAACTTGACCAATCAGCTATGATTTTAGTTGAAGGCCGTGTATGCCTGCGTGCCAACTAAAAGCTTTATATATATTCATTTTGAGATTATTCAATTTTTTATCCAGTTAATAGAAATCGTTTTCAAGCAAATTGAAGCAAATTACGATTTCAAAATGCAAATATGTGACTACGTTTCAAGGAATTCAACAGTTACTACGTTACTATATACGTATGGTAACGTTCCATGCCATGCACAGTGCGATTTGAGTTATTTATCATACTTATATTAAGCTACAGTCGTATTTCTCTAGCAGCATATCAATAGTTTTCCCCGCTCCTGCTATCAATGGTCCTGTTTTATTACTTTTATATTGTCGATATGCATAACAAAATGACCCTACTCAAAATGTCTGTGATCAAAATTTGTTTTGTATTCTCTCACTGGTCATGCATTTGTGTCCAAATAGTCGCGTCTTTAAAAGAGCTAGGACAAAATTCTGTTTGCTCGTTCCTAATTTCCTGTTCGTAGATTGAATTTCACTGATTTTACTGTTTCTCGTCTAACTGTTAACCTCTTCCAGCTGATCTGAGATCATGACGTCATAAAGCGTCTCGACAAAACTGAGTTATCATGTGCCTGGTGTTATTTGTCCGTATTCTTCCAACTAATCGTATAAAGGTTGAAAAATTTAAATTCTAATATGCAGTTCGGAAAAAAAAAGCTTTTTTTCATATAAATATAATAAAATTACTTGATATTTTCGAGTGCCGAAGTCATATGCAATGAAGGAAATGAATCAAATGATAATTCAGTTTTGTCGAAGATCTGGCTTCTGTAGAATTAAAGTAATTCCGACAAATGAAAGCATAATACAATTTTAAGCTGTATATTTCCAATCAAGATCGATTCATCTTCAGCAGAATGGTTGACAAGATTTTCGTCGCAAATTACTTTAATTCTATATGTGCTAGAACTAACAGCTGGTAAAGGAATCTGGCTTCTGATCGGTTGATTTTTATACCCAGATCAGCTGGTTAATCTGTTCATTATTTTTTATTTATTGTAGGAAAAAGCTGATAAGGGTGAATTTGATATAGCTCCTTACATCACGCTCTGTGTCTTGGATATCATATGTGGTAATTTTTTTTATCTTAGCTGTATAAATCGCAATAATAAAGAATTGAAAATTCTGGGCAACTGGTTTCCACGGTTTTGGCCACTGACCTATTATGTTAGGTAGAACATTAAGGTCAATTCTTACAACTGCATTACTACGGCGTCTAGATAGGATACTTGAATGGTGACTGTTGAAACAAATATTTCATAATTTCAACTGTGCATTCCTGGGTCATCTGCTAATCTCATTGAATACATTCCATGGTAGCATTGTATTGCCCACTCCAACGCTACACTTGTGCTATAGACCCTATATATATTGACGTAACAAACTGTGACGCCTCTAAGGAATTCTGGTTTCTGTGGTCTGGGCGGAAAACTACTTAGACCAGAATTCCTTGCAGGTCTTACAGGTGTTACATCATTATACATAAAGTCCATTACGTTTTAATTCCATTTTCCGTCCTGTATATACTGGTGATATCAGCATTTTTAACTGTGCCAGTTTTGTATCAAGCCTTATCCATGATAGTGTGTTCAAGTCAGACACAAAAATATACTTCTTCCTACTGTAGTAAATGAAATTTGTGTAGAATTTTTTTATACGTAACAAGTATACACGTGCATCCTGAGTTTCAAAAATCAGAAAAATTAGTCATGCGCTCGTGATTTGTATCAGGGGCGGATCTAGGATTTTTCGCACATTAGTCAAAATATCGGATGTAAAAACAGGGAGGTGGTTCAATTTCCGCCCCCCCCCCGGAATAATGACATTTCAAAAATTATTTTAAAACTTCTGAACGCGAAATTTATACAAAAATTATACGCGAAAAGTACGCATTAAAATGTTAACGTTTAAATGTTTACTGAGCCTTCAGTTTTAATAGCAGAAACACGTGAATCGAAATAACGGGCAATAATAGGAAATTACACCCATGGGCTCCATGGGCATGGAATAAAAACACGAATGCGGTCAATTTGTAAGAGTGACTGAATAATATTCATAACTGTTACAGCATAAGCTAGTATTGCTCCAAGCTATGCTACATGCCAAATATAATATGTGCTTAATGCCGCTTACACTTTACAGTAAATATCACAGTTGGGCAATATTGTTTATAATGCGCTATAATTCATAATTGCCATATTGGTTTGGTGGGTAATCATGATTACGTTGTACTTTTTGATATAAGCATGCATTACATGATTTTACAAATATATAAATCTTCTTTACGCGCCTAGATCTAGTATTATGCATTGGCTGTTTGTTAGACGTAAATTTATACAGTAAATCTTGGTTGATACTTGACAAATAAACAATACAATAATCGACCTTATGACCGAACGACGACGGGCGAATGCAAATATATGCTAATAGAGAACCACGCTCAAATATACAGTTAACATAGCAAATTATAGGACTATAGTTTATACGAACTTATAGAAGTTGTACATGAACATCGACATGAATCTTTACCTTATCTCAGTAGATTTCTCATTTTGACGAGCGCACGAGGTAACGGAATTATCCATATTACCCGACAAGACGACAACTGAAAGCTATTCGATATTTTCGCTATTTGTAGCGTGAACTTCCTAACAAAGATCTGTATCGGGTATTGCAGGAACCTCAAATCATTGCGATGAAATGCCATTTTGTAAAATAAATATACGAATTCGTATAAATGGCGAGATCGAGCAGTAGAATCCAACAGTTTTTTAAAAATATCCGCTGTCAAACATCCAGAAATTTTTCAATATTCCTTATTTACTTGAGAAGGATATATTTTTTCCTTTAAGTCAAATAAAGCAAACCAATAAGAAATCATTATTTTTCTTTCACCAGCCAATCGGAAAGCTTAAATTTGGCGAATGAGTCAGACCCCCGCAAAGATAAGGCAAGCCAATGAAGAACCAGTATTAGCCCTCCGACAGCCAATCGGAAACGCTTAAATAGCGCAGATGAGTAAGACCCCCGCAAAGATGAGTCAAACTCATTCTAAGCCAATCAAATGCCTAGAATCAGAAGTCGATGAGGCAAAATTCAAGCGGGTATCCGCTATTGTGACTCATTTGCCGAGGGCTCAAAAGTCAGTGACCAGCAACTGCATGAAGCTTAATAATTTTAACTGGACTGTTAATTTATCGAATGACTATTTTCGCTGACTGAAGTTTAAATATTTCGACCTGGACTTGTGTATTTTTTGACATAGTCGCGTGACTCATCTGACAACCCCTAGATCCGCCCCTGATTTGTATGTTTTGTAATTTTTCCATGATCATCGGTAAATCTTATAATTAAACTCGGTGGTCTTGTCTTTACATTCCTCAAATTGTAGAAACGTCAATGGGTATCGACATCAAAGCTCAATATGGCAGTAATCCAGAATATACAAAAGCCGTGTTTAGGTAAGCCGGTACTGTAAAATTAGGATTTTTTTCAAACTTTTTTTCTTATTGAATTACGTATGCAGTGTATGATCTCATCTAGCTAAACAGTGTTAGTTATTGTATCGAAGTTAACGAGCAAGAATCTCTATTATAATTACTGTATTTGATAAAATGAACCAAATGTGGTAAAAACAGCTCTCGAAAATGTACTCGAAAACTTGATTGGGAGAACGCCAACAGCCGAGTTCACAAGTAAGCCATACATGTTGTTCTGCATTCGAATTTTTATTTTAATCTTTTCAGCACATGTGAACTTATTCAAGAACGTCAGAAGTCACCATGGCTTTGGCCAGATTTTATATATAACATAACGTCATCTGGAAGAAGTTATCAAAAAGCCTTGAGTGTTCTCCATGGTTTCACAAACCAGGTATATATAGAGTATACTCACTTTTATCTGTTTTGCGATTGATTGATACTAACAAAAATAGTAACTAAAGCAAGTAATCATAATTTTCGCCAGTTTTATAAGTTTGTGTTATTTACAATAGTTCATCCTTTTTCGTTATACCTTCATAAATATTATCTAATTATTACTATGAGTGATTTTCTTATTTTTCGCAGGAAAACACGACTGCTAAACAAAAATGACCACTACAATAGTTATATATGTATTAAGTTATGCCATTTAATAAATAACTTACTTCGACATTAAATTGTCTGTACAGTAAAATTGCAAACCTCTGTATTGACCTCGCTATAGTTCAGTCAATACACCATGAACTCGGTTTCATATTTCCCCGTATAGACCTCACACTCAGTTAGCAATTGCAATTTCTGTAGTTAGTAAGTATATGTTTGTTCCAATGTTATTTATCTTCAAAACTGGTTCGCGCTTTATAGGGACACTGAACACAATGTACATTTACATTGTACAAGTTTTTTTATCAAAGCATTTCCTTTAAGGTGATTAATGACCGTATCGAGCAACGAAAATTACGGAAATCAGAGAATTTCGATGGTTCTGACGATAGAGCGATATATTCGTCTAGTAATCGTCGTATTCGGGCATTTTTGGATCTTTTGTTAGAGGAATATGATCAGGGAAATATAACGAAGGAGGGCGTCAGAGAAGAGGTCGATACATTCATGTTTGAGGTACTTTGACCTGATTTATTTTTTTAAAAATCACCAGCCGGCGGAGACCGAGCCCTTTACTGAATTCTGATTGGCTGTAATATTAACGATATCTAACCTCGGTTTGGAATCTATATTTTTTTCTTAAAGAATTGTACCAACTTGAGTTTGCGACACACTAAGTGAACAGTTTTTTCTTGCAGGGTCACGACACAACAGCGGCTTCATTACAATGGATCATTCATCTTCTTAGTATTAATCCAGATGTTCAATCACGCTTGCAACAGGAAGTAGATAATTGGTATGGTAAGTTTTGCTATTTCTTTCTTCTGGATGTTTCTGATAAAACTTTGCTACAATGTTTGCCTAAGAATATCCAGAGTCAACCTCGTACCCAGGGTTTTATTACCTACGCTCCATGGGTACGTGGTTGATCCAGAGTATGAAATTATTATCATGAAAACAAAGCGATGGTTGTAAAGTCTGGTCGATCAACGTTTTCAAGAAACCTATTTTTCCACCAAATTGGTTATACCAATATAACTTTTCCCTATTTTGTATGAAAAACCGTCGCCAGCAATGTAAACCCTGAATTCGTTGATATAAAGTACCCTTCAGTGGAGGATCTAGGAGTGTGCAGAATAAATTACACAGGTAAATTCTAAATTCAAAACACCTTAATAACAACGCTATTAGTTATAGATTTGTAAAGAATATTTTTACATAAACATCTACCAATGCGATTCCGATTTTAAGCTGTAGTAATTTATTCTGCACACCCCTAGATCCGCCACTTTGAAGTTGTACCACAGCAGTCTCGTTTAGTAGCTACGGTATGGCGCAAAAATTTTACCACTCGAAATTGACTTGAACAAATCTACACGAAATTGGTTGTACCAATATTACTTTTCCCTATTTTGTATGAAAAACGGTTGCCAGCAGTGTCGACACTGAATTCGTTTATATAAAATACCTTTTTAAAGTTGTATCAAAGTAATCTCAATATAGCTACGGTATTGCGCAAAAATTTTTGTACTCAAGATTGACCTGAACAAATCTACACTCGTACACTATGAAAAGAAGAAATGCGCATGCACCCAAATTTTCAGGAAAATAGCTGGGGTGAACACCTCTTAAGTAATATTTTGATGAAGCAATCGATGATGGTATTTTGTAGAATCTTTACCGCCGGATGGAAAAATTAAACCTGAACAACTGAAGGACTTGAGTTATCTGGAATGTGTCGTGAAGGTGAGATATAATTATACTAATAATGAATGTTTTCATGAGGTGAAAGATTGAATAGCAAAGCCGACTTGAATGGAAAATTCAATCTTTTACCGAAACGAAAATGTACTTTCTTCTGCAGAAATGAATTTAGCATAAAAAACACCCAAATAAATCTATTATTATTAAAATATTTAGTAAGGGAACAATTTTTATTAATTTTATAAATGATAATCGCATTGTCCATACTATTTGGATTCATGATCAAAATTAATGCGCGCGAGCGTTACCTGTAGGAACTGGGTACGATCGATATTGTGAGTTATTGGAAACTTGCAATGGAATACTGACTAATATAGAGTACCGACTAATATGGAGTATATTTTAAGAGAAAAGTCAATTCAAACATTTGCATGCCAGGCTAATTTGCATCTGTTTCTCTTGTAGGAGGGATTGCGATTGTTTCCGTCTGTACCTCTCTTTGGTCGTGAATTGACGGAGGAATGTAAATTCGGTAAGATTTTTTTACAAAGCAAAGTTACATGCAGCGCTGCTGATAATTATAATAATCCGAGAATGAACTAGTTTATCTTGTGGGATGATTTCAGCTTCATTTTTAGCCATGCATAACCCTCAGTGATTGAACTGAGTAAAGTGAGAGGAAATAGTTCAAAAGTTGAGCATTTAGGAACTCCCGATTTAACTGATACTTATTCACTATTATTCTATTATAAACAACGAGTAAAGCAACAACTAATAATATAAAAACCTTTAAAAGTTGTTGACAGTCCCGGCATGCATGGATGCATGGGAAATTAAACCAAGGTTTTGTTTAGCTAGTTTTGCCAAACGAGCATGCAGGCATTCATATTTCTCGGGTCAGTTGTATAAAAGACTAGTTAATTTTTTACTGTAGTTAAGGACAGAATTGGACGATCAGAATCGTGTATTTCTGAGTTAACTAGGATTTGATTGTGTGAAATTTAGTTAAAGAGTTTAATACAACTGGCACTTGGTTTTCAAAGGTCATCGACGATCGGCGAAGGCTTCTGTCATTGATCACTATAGACTAAAAGCGCTTTGCTAAATATTTAAAATAAATTTTCTTCGTCGCATTTACCTGCAATGCATCGCCGAGTGCTTGCCGAGGACCAGGCTATGTACGATGTGCGAGTTTCGACGCTATGCATGGAGTTAACGCTCTGAAGACTGGAACAATAACTGACGGTTGTCTCATATTTGGATATATTGGCCACTATCTTTGAAGCTATAATCTCAAACTAAATCGGGCACAAATGCCAGTTTCTTTCTATTGTTTTTGTTTGCGCGATCGTCGGTTGTGGAGACAAAAACAATGGAATTACACTGCATGAAAAACGCCGTATTCTAAGGTATTCACATGTGAATACTGGTTGGAATAAAACACATATTGCAAGCGTATTTCGATGTGGAATATTAGTGTGAATATGGCACCGTATTCTTAAGTATTCTAAGTGTGAATATGCTGTGAATATGCGCGTATTCCGACCAATATTCACACTTGGAATATCTCACTTCTCGCTTAATCCGTGTTTCCACAAGATAATTTCTGAAGCTGACATTTGTTAAACTTTATTTTGAATGCTGAAAAATAAAAGTGGAATTTTATAAATAATTTGGCGCAAAAAGCGCGCTTTCAAGTTAATAAACATTGATCGAGGATCGCGCCTTCGTACTTGTAAGAAAGCTTTTTAGCGACAAATAAATATGGGTCAGTCAAGAAGAGAATAAAGAACGAAAAGGGCTTAGTAAAGTCTGCAAACTCTGGTCGCGGTTAAAGAGCATGCCAGCGAGTATTTGTATGCTGCGATTCCCACGAAGAAAATGCGCAAAACAGAAATGAGATTGCATGGCGAGATGCACACGGTACATTATGTTACTTGTTCACAGGTTTAAAGTGATAACGAATATTAAACATATTACAAGGATTCATTTTTTATTGTCCAAATTTTGATCCCAACAAGCAAATACCGTTTGTACGTATAAAGGGACCTCTTCGGTGAGTGACTGAATATTGTGTAGTTGAGTGCAATAGCCGGCCTATAGACTATACCCTATGGCCTAAGGCCCATGTGGTGAGTTCTCAACATTTCTTTCACGAATTGCCTTATAAAGCATATGATAAAAAGTTATTGGGTTATGCGTTGACAGTCTGTGCAAATGTTTAAGCATTTATTGTCCTTCAAGCTTATCTATGAACAAAAATATCAATATGAACAAACATGATCTTTAGGTTGCCATATTAATTTGCATAACATATGCCATGATATGATTATTTGAGATTTTGTACAGTTCTTAACAGATCATGTACATGTGATGTTTTACAACATTTATACATCTATTATTTCTGTAATTTAATAATTGCAAATTATCTAAATCATCAAAAATTTGTTGCATACAGTCTGCCATTAACTTCTAAGCTGTTATGATTTTCAATTGTTGGGCAGCTGGTTGGGATAGATAAACCGTGGTATACACTTATCATTATCACAGCAATGCTGTTGTAGTATATATGAAACATCATTGCTCCTGGAGTATGTCAGGCAAAATAAGGAGTGCTTTGTTGAATATATATGTAATTATTTTTATGTACTTAAAAAACACAGTCTGGCTTGGAGTTCTAAGCTGTTAAGATTTTTAATCTTTGGGCAGCTAGTTTTTTGGGCAGCTAAGACTTTAGTCTTTTGGCAATCAGTTCATAGTTACACTGTGGTAAACACTTAACTTCCTAAATTATAGCAATGTTGTTATAGTATATATGAAACATCATTGCTCCTGGAGTCTGTCAAGCAAAATAATGAGTGAATTGTTAAATATATGTAATTATTTTTATTTACTCAAAAAACACAGTCTGGCTTGGACTTCTAAGCTGTTAAGATTTTAATCTTTGGACAGCTGGTTGTTAAGACTTCTGTCTTTTGGCAATCAGTTCATAGCTACACTGGGGTAAACACTTAACTTTCTAAATTATAGCAATGTTGTAGTATATATGAAACATCATTGCTCTTGGAGTATGTCAAGCAAAATGAAGAGTGAATTGTGGAATATATACGTAATTATTTTTATTTACTTAAAAAACACAGTCTGGCTTGGACTTCTAAGCTGTTAAGATTTTTAATCTTTGGGTAGCTGGTTGTTAAGACTTCAGTCTTTTGGCAATCAGTTCATAGCTACACTGTGGTAAACACTTAACTTCCTAAATTATAGCAATGTTGTAGTATATATGAAACATCATTGCGCCTGGAGTATGTCAGACAAAATAAAGAGTGAATTATTCAATATGTATGTAATTATATTTATGTAAAATTTTATTATCATAATTTGGGCAGGTACCAACATTATAAGTGCCATATATGTATACAGAATGATAAAGTGTAATCAACTAAAAAGTAGAAGTTTAGGTGAAACATTGTTAAATATACATGTAATATAATTAAGAAACACAGGCGGGCTTGGATTTCTAAGCTATTAAGATTTTCTATCTTTGGGCTCAAGACTAGTTTCTTTCGGCAAGTCATTCTAAGTATTTCACTCTCTATTGATAGTATCAGTGTTGTTTTAGAAGACATGATCAACATGTGTTTTCTGCAATATCAGTTCATAGTTTCACTGTGGTAAGTGTTTAGTGTTCATAGTAGCACTAGGTACCAAAATTGAACAGTACACATGTATGCATTTTAATACACTTTGCAACAATGAATGGCAATACTCCTAATCTGCACAGACCACACTTGGCAGACTGATTTATTTCAGGCACTAATTGTCAACCAGGTTTTTTATAAAGACAAAATACAACATATAGTAAATAGGATACAAGAAAATGATTTGTTCAACTCAATCAATCATATAATTCATTCCATGTAATTATTTGGTAGTGATTTTATGAATTTTCCTATTTGCCTAATTAGGTAATTTTTATATAAATAAATTACAAAAAAGTTGTGCTGATGCCAACCATAAAAGCGTTGGTCTCACACTCCGGTCTGTCTGTGTGTTTGCTCTGTGTGATTTTGATACCACATATTGAGCTCGTGGCATCCCCGCCCCGGACGGCAGGACCTTTTAATAGCCAAAGATATGGACGAAAGCTGTTGTCAATGGTGGAATCGGACTTGTGGCATGGCTGTTGTATAAACATTCAGAACAAATCATTCCATGGTTGCGAACCTCTGTATAGTTTCACTACATATGTACGCCGATATATTTCTTTCTGTCTGCATCTTATTTTGTGCAACAAACTGAACATAGTTTTAAAAACATTTCCAACTGAAGTTTGTAGGTGAGTTACAGTAATACTTATTTTACTAGAAATACATTGCATGCAAAGTCCCCTCGCCTGACGCAATAAACTTTAAACAATAAACAATATTTAAAGCTATAAACAATATTTCCATCACTGAAATTCTATGATACTCGTTTCTGCTGAATGATCGAAGTCGTAAAGTAAAATCCTATATCTTGGTAGAATTATAAAGTCGACTCTCGAGCTATCAAATTCGACTATAATATAATCATCATTGTGCTACGAATAGTTTTAAATACTACAATTCTTAGCGAAATTTCAATTACTTTTTAAACAAATTCACCTTTAAAAATAAATACTTTTCAAATCCAAATCATTTCAACGATATATTGACGAATAAATTCAAAGAGGGGTCATACATTTGTTGATAAATCCACATATTAAACTTACAAAACAATAGTATACTTTAAAATACCGAAATCTACCCATTTACCTGTTCAAAAACACTTTAAAAGTGCTTCAAAATCGTAGATATTTCACCATCCATTAGAATGGATATTTTTCTATCCAAAGGTATCTTTTACATTATATTTTAATCAATTTTACGAGTCAATTTTTCGTATATTTTTAAGACCATCCAAATGAAAAATATTATTTAAAAAAAGGTTTATAATTCAAAATATCAGTTATGCTGACGTGACCCAAATTTTAATTTAGCCAATCGCACGTTTGTAAACGTTTGCTAGTTACCAGTTTTAACTCGTCTTATACTCACGCATGCGCATAACTTACAAAAACGCCCAACGTCCATGACATAATGGCGGACAACTTTCATTTCGCATTTGCATTCCCGGGCGTAATTAAAATCTCCGGGCGGAATTAGTACCCTCGCCCGGTGCTTCGCACCGGCTCGGGGATTATTTATATCAGCATTTTCGCGCCGCTATTTCCTAGCGCCAAAAATGTCAACAAAATGACGGTAAGGAAATTTCTATAAGGAAATTTCCTTTGAAGCATAACTGTTCATGTTACATTGCTATCTTTAGAGAACCAAGAGAGATAAGCCACATAAAATTCACACTGTGCTTTATGCTGTATTTTTATACACATATTGGACTTGAATGTTAATCTTATAACATAGGAACGTACAGGGGTTAAAATTTATACATTCAGTACAATGGTATATTCGAGCGGATTAACAATGTATGGCAAGGTCAAGGCATTGCAAAGGAGAAAAAATCCGATCAAAATTTGCCATTGAAAATCAAAAAATATAGGTCCTGGTCATGTGTTTATAAGTTTATTGGCGATCAAAGACACTAAATAAAGTCTCGATTCTCGATAATGTAATCTATATCGTCAATAGCTGACACTAGCAGGCGATTGCGGAATCACAACAAGGCTATATATGTATATTTGGCACTATAGACAAATTAGCGGCAAATTTTTACAGTGAATAATGTCTCGCTTATTCTATACTTATTCAACAGCACTTATTAATATGACCAAGTGTGAATATCCTACCTCAAAAAATATTCACACAGTATTCGAACATATTCTAGGTGAGAATATGGGGTGTGTTTTATTCACAGGTATTCACGTCAGAATACCCCTAATATTCCGAGGATATTCACAGTGAATATGTGTGAATACGTGTGAATACTAACCATATTCGAACTCATATTCACACGTATTCACCTGTGAATACTCGGCTTTTCATGCAGTGTATAGACTAGTGGTCCACTACTGGTGTCTATAAAATTGGCTTCCATGCAAGAGGCGACCGATTTATCGTTCTAATTCACATAGAGGGTCACTGGCGGCTATAGTGATTCTTTTTTCTTCATGCCGCTAACGCATCATGTGTAAAATTGTCTAAAACAATAAGATTTTTCAGGTCCATACCGTGTTCCTGAAGGATGTAGCATTATTGTGGCTTTAATGGGTTTGCATCGTAATCCTGAAGTATGGGAGAATCCAGAGACGTTCAATCCTGACAGATTTCTTTCAGAAAATAACGTTGGAAGACATCCTTTTGCCTATGTTCCTTTTTCTGCTGGACCAAGAAACTGCATTGGTGAGTAACAAATAATTATATGAATAGTCATATTCCGTGCATATTAACCAGTCAGATTGCGTGCTTCACTGTAGTTATTACATGATGAAATTTCTAGCTATTGCTAAGAATTCATGTTATTGTATGAAATAGATCAATCCTTGAAGCCTAGCCTTGAAACATTGATGCTTAGAAAAAAACGTTCAAAGTGTTTTGTAAACATTGAAATATATTACTGTTCTGGATAGATTCTGGATATATTTTTTGTGAAATATCTAAAGAACGTTAGAATTGAACGAACCGTTTTCTATATTATTTATCGATATATGCAAATTAAATCTTTATCATCGCTATTATTATTAGCGTACTAAAATTACTGGATACTGATTGATCAAGAGGAGTACAATTAATTCATCAAGTATTTTATTAATTGTACTGCAGTACAATTGTCATTAATTGATGATTTTGCCCAGATAAAAAAATGGCGGAAAGTTATCTGCATATACAAACTAAACAGTCTTGGATGAACTGAAAAAGGCCAAAAAGGAAAACGCAAATACTGTCCAAAGTACAAAATAATGGACAAATGTCTGGCAGGACTGTATTAATTATCGTGTTTGCATTGAAAATTACGCCCGAAAGTTCGTATTAAAACGCTCCAAATGCTGACATATTAATAATAAAAACTAGCCCCGGCAGCTCGTCCAATTTTTGCAAAATTTTCAAACATCACTCGTACTATTAATCGTACTAATTAAATTCGTACTATTGTACTCACCATCGTATCATGATACCTATATTTATTCATGTGGATTTTCGTTGCAGGGCAAAGATTTGCTATGATGGAAGACAAAATAGTATTAGCATCCATCATACGTCATTTTAATATCAAGTCGACTCAGTCGTCTGATGATATTAGGAAAAGTGCAGAAATTATTCTGAAATCCACAAGTGGTATTATGGTGGAGTTGGAAACAAGAATTTTTTAAACATGTTCGATGCCGCTCTTCTAAAATTGAAATTACTGACCTCTACAGACGACCTAGACCCACTGAGCTCTCACGTAACTGGATTGATAACTGGTGATGAACCTGGCTCACATTTGAATGTCCACATCAAACGATTTCTATAAATTTAGGCTGAAATACCTGACACTCAAACATTAGGTGTTATAAAACAATGTTTTCGTAATAGTATCATATTTTTGGCGAGGTTTTTTCGGCTTTTGTAAGAATTCTCTCCTTATTAAGCCTTTCCAGCTTTGAACTTGAAGAGTGCTTAAAAATTAATAAAATACCAAAATCTACGCTTTAAATACTAGGCCAGAGATTTAAGATTAAACTCATTCAAATTATTTATGCATGCAGCTGTCAAATTGTGAAAAATCTTTGGGTATTGAAGTCACACAATAGAAAATACTGACACATGTAAATGAACGATTGCTGCGGCTAAAACCAACATACATGCATGTCTTAGCATTTAGCTACGTCTGAACTAATCTGGTATAGGGTATCCCCAAATGCAGACAAGATTGGGGAAACAAAATTTTATGAACCCAGTGTAAATTAGGCTTTACAACTGGTTATAGTATAGTATATAACTCTCCTGACGAAGGTCCTTAGGTTGAAACGTCGAGAAGTATTTTTTCTATTTTAGACAGTTGTTATACCACATTTGATGCTAAGTTCTCCTGTATCTGTAGTATATTCCGTATGTTCTCGTCGATGCTGCCAGCAAAAAATGCCATTGGCGTATTTTTGTTCAAAGAACTCAACAAAGTCAAAAACGGGATCTATATACAATTTTACAAACAAAACCGAACAATTTGAGATATTTCGAAATAAATATAAATCGAAAATTTTTGTTTTAGGTCTATACTTATATTCTTAGTTTTGAGATGGCTTTATGCTTCAAAATTTGGAATTTTTCATATTCAATTTGCTGAAGTTGAGATATTTATTTCACTATTATGACTTATGTGCTTGGCCTTCGCAAGTAGATTCACAGTTTGACTCCTAAAAACGCGGTAGCGTTGAAACTAAAGTTGAAAGTTTTACACCGGCCCTATCAAACTAAAAGGTTCCTCTTTCTCATTTACCTTTTAAGGATCGACGCATTAACAAATATAACCCGGCAATATATGAAAGGTCTTTTCCGCATTCAAGGCGTATAAATCAGTGCATGGAACTGATGGAAGTGCCAAGTGCAACATTTAAAATAGGCCTTAAATTGTAAACCATTATACATTGTTTCATCCGATTTTATCATTCATGTATATGCTTATTAGTATATTTTTTATATAAAGTCAATACACCTGTTATACCTGAATAAAGCAATGCATGATTTGTTTTACTAACCTTTAGCGGATGGAAAATTAAACATAAGTGATTATCATTCAGCAAACAATACTATAGTTAGGAATTATATAGTATACCTTTTACGGTATTTTCAGTCCGTTCTCATTGACATCTTAGCGGAACAAAATCTCGGCTAGATAAACAACTATTTTGTACTGTAGCCGTATAGGTAAGTGTGTTTTCTTGCTTAAAGTTTATAGTTTATAACTCTAAATTCAATATTACGGCAAAATTTCTATTACCGTCGTGTGTAAATATAATTATTCGTCTCGTATGTATTATCCGCTTCATTTTATTTCTTCAATCTGCCCGGAGAAATTTACACAAGCGACTTGCGCCTATAGAGCCTATATATATGTCTACTGATTTTCCCCCTCGTGAGTTAAGTCGGGTGTGAGAATCGAACCAATCATCAGAGGTAAAAGGTAGCTCCGTGCTCTGCGGTTGTTCAAAATTAACAGCCTTTATTTAAAAATCCGTTAAAATAAAAGTCAAATAAACCAAAGTTTCAAAATTCTCTCGTACATGTTGTGAATCACTGAACCTATACATCTTATATGCATTTAATTTCATGCATTGGAAATAAAATAATCGTTTTGAAAGGAACACAAGGCAACGATCGAATTACATCTGTTTGCTCAAATGTTTGCTACTCTGCATTCATTATGTAACCTGGCTCAACAGGCAATTGCTAAAGCACAACAGACAATATTGTTTATTGCCACGTTTTCTTCAGAAAATCCTCACAGATGACAAGCACGAATACGATATTCGCCATCTTGCTGTTTTTGAACACGTTCGTGTGGACTAGCGGAAACAAACAGTTTCACAAAGCCAAACGATCGACGGCACATGGCCACGACCTACACAAGGATCACGTGATATTCCTTGGCGAGGAAGCCGCTCGTGAGTTTTATGGATTAACACAGAAAGAGTCAATAAGAAGACTTCGGTAAGTTCAAATCAAACTAATTTACGAGTGTCATTCTTCACTAGAAACAATCTATTTCAAACGATTCTAATCAGTATGCAGAACGAGTATATATGAATATCCCCTTAAGGATCACTTAAGGATCTTCCGAGGCTCCTGTCTCGGGAGGCAGTGTGAAAATGCGAAAATCCTCTCGGTTTATTTCAGAATGCTTGTACCTCGCATTGACATAAATAAGAATGGATATGTAGACGATAATGAATTAACAATATGGATACGTCACAAGTTACAACCTTGGACTGTCCACGAGGACATTGATGCAATATTCCATGACATTGATGCTGATTATGATAATCAGATTACTTGGGATGAGTACATGAAAAATATTTTTGGATTTATTGAAAGTGGTAAATATTCAAATTAAACAATACAAAATGTAGTTAATTTCATTCGAATTTCCGCAGCATGTTTCCATTAATTATGCTTTCGAGAATAATTTCTCTGATGTTCATGTTTCAGAAAAGGACAAGAAGTGGAGCAGAGAAAATTTGTATAAATACATAGAAGATGATCGTTTAAAGTGGAAGTATGCGGACAAAAATGACGACAAAAATCTGACAAGAGAGGAATTTGAATTCTTTCACCATCCACGAGAACACGAAGCGATGAGCGAGTACATTGCTGTGGTATGATATTAATATATTTGTATGAAACAGTATATTAATTTAATTAGTGAAAGCATGATAGCAGTGGTACTCAAAATATAATTATTGGAAGTAGAAGTTCATATGTGCTAAAAATTGCTTAGCTAGTAGCCCACATGACCGCTGGGCACCTAACTAGTGAGTTATTAATTTTTTGACACTAACGTCAGTTATACGTTAGGCAAAAGCAACGCGTCCACAGAACACGCTGTTTCTCTCAATTCGTGTAAGAAAGTGCCGAATTAGTGGTATTGTATTTAAGGTTTGTTAATCTTCTTGAAAATTACAGCTTGAAATGAACGAATATGATAAAGATAAGGATGGATTTCTATCTTTGAAGGAATATCTTGGTAAGACTTTCTCCTGAGTCGGTAGGCGCAGAATAGCTATTCTTATCAATTTCCGTAGCAAGTGAAGGTATGTCTTGACCATTATCCAAATTACTCCCACTTATTCTTTACTAAACCTCGCTGATCCTTTGCAATCCTCGCTGTTCCTTAGTCTGTTTAAATTGAACAGTGCATGTCACGAGTATTTATTTGTTGCATTCCAATGTTAAAACGATAATAAAACTTCTCTTCTTGATTAATCCGACTCTCCCGTCTCCTGACAACGTCTTTGATTAATTACAACCTCTTTTATTTAATAATCACCCGTAAGACAATTTTTAACAGACCCGTACGTTAATTAGGGTTAAATGGGCCAAAGAAAACAAAGACTATAAAGTAACGACATACTAGTTTAAATGACCGCATAAATGGTGCTAAATGGTGTCGCCATTTAGTTTTTAGAGTTTTATAGCAGCCTATAAGATGATATATACAATACGCTTGTTTAGAGAGGAATTGACTTGTTGAGAGGGGAAAGTTTAGGGTTGAGTTCAGCTTGTCATTAAATTTTCAATAATTAAGATTCATTGTAATTGATTCCAATCTTTCAATGAACACATATGTGTATATGTATATGTATATATATATGTACAATATGTGTATATATATGTATATATATGTACAATATGTGTATATATATATATATATATATATATATATATATATATATATATATATATATATATATATATATATATATATATGTATATGTATATATTATAATATAGGTATTCATTTCCAAACCATTTCTGTTACTAACGTCTTTAGTCTTTAGTTGTATCCAGTCCGAAAGAGGAAATTCTTACACCAGCGTTTGCCGCTCTAGATATGAAAAATTTTTACGAAATTTTTGACCTTAATCACGATGGCAAACTGAGCTTGGTGAGCTGAGAACACTTTGTAATAATTTTAGACATATCTTCAGTTTTGCCAGACCGATTTCCATTGTTAGTGTAAAAGAAATCCGTCGGGCAGAACAGAATATATGAATATTCACACCTCCCCTCCAATTATCGTTCTAGTTACGCCCCTGGTCATTGGAAGTAAAATAAATAAATATGAATTTAAAAAAAATTCTAATACACTTACCAGATATTTTCTATTGACGCAAAGTTTGTTTAAAAACGAAGTCTCATTTTGCCCTCGATTGCTTAATCATCTCATACAATCAGATTTCTCAATGTGTTGCTATCTTGTAACAATTTTTTTACAATTTTGCAGATGGAAATTGAAATTATGAAGAAACCTAAAAGTTACGATAAAGCCGAAGATGAAGCTATACATCTTATGGAATATGCGGATGGGAATGGGGTAGATTGCTTCTCTTTTAACACGTTTTGGTTTCCATTTGTCCTAACCATACAACCTTGCTCCAATGACAAAAAGGGAAATGCCCTGGGAACGAGGTTGCTAACAATCGTGAAAGGTCATTATCATCCATGGCAAATAGTCAGAGTGTAAACTTTTCTCTTTATTCAAATCGGCCATTGTTGACTACACATACAGAGATATTCTATCATATCAGCCACCATGACATGCTTATGACAATTACCATGCAATAAATGCGAACCAGCTAGATGTAGACCATAACTCCGTCACTGGTAGTGGTGTCATACTATTATTACAGATATTCAATATTTAAAATTACAGACGAAACGGCTTAACGTATTTTTTTTCTTCAATATAGGACGGCAAGCTTGGTGTGGAGGAGTTCGCTGCAAATTATCATATATTTGTTGGTAGTTACGGTACACGTTTTGGCCAAGTTTTGCATGACGA